GGGCCACCGTGGGGCGCCGTAGCCAACAGGGGGTACCCGTAGGAGAGAAGAGAAAGGCTTCAGCTCACTCCGAAACACGCCGAGGCCATGTCGTGCCCTCAAGAACTAGGGAGACTAGAGCAAGTGACCTCCCTCGTTGATGGTCCTCGCGCTGAAGCCACCTCTTCTCCAGCCAGTCGGGAAAGCCGTGCCCACCAATAAACCCGGAGGCCAGCCTGGCTGCGGCCGCCCCTATAGGCTAAAGGGGCTCCCTCCCCGCACCCTACTCTCCATCAGCATCAAGGCTGGCAAATATCCAGTACGGTAGCCTTCCTTGCTTCCGCGTGCCCAACTTCATCATGGCCGCGCAGCCTGCTTTCTCTGAACGGCGACCCAGGAATTCGGGGAGCGCTTCGTCCCCGGCGGGAATGGATGGCCCCATCCCGTCATACGACATCCCACAGAGCCTTTTGTGATGTACGACTCTTCTCACCTTTGCCTTTGTCAGCTCCCCTTTTCCAGCACCCGGCGGACGCGCCCCGCAGGCCGAAAGGGAGCACTGCCCCGCACTAACATGGCCACTCCAAGCGCCGCTTGGCCTTGCCCTCAAGCAAAATGGCAGCTCCTCGGCTTCCTGGCCCACATTAGGCCGTGGAGCCGAAAGGAGGCGTTCCAGGGCGAGCTGGACCGAGTGGGCCGGACTCACAGGCCCGCCCCCGTGTTTTCCTCGGGAGAGGGCGGTCCAACTGCGCCTGCGCCGTCGGGGCGGCCGGCCACGTGATGCGAGCTCGGGTCGCTGTCACCCCACTCGACAGGATGGTTTGCCCCAATCCCGCTCTAGAGCGAGCGGCAGCGCTACCACTCTCGGGACCGGAGGGGGCGTCCGCCCCCCGGATGTGACAACGCGGTGACGCGCAAAAGGAGAGGAGGCGGCCATGGAGGGACCTGGCTACCGGGTAAGCACCTGAGGGCTCACCTGCTCGCTTCTGCCTTTGTGGGACGCCTCCACCTGGCGGTCGACACCCCCTTCCGGCCGTGCCAGGGCTCCCAGAGCCCGGGCTGGGCCTTGGCAAACACGATTCCCTTATTAAAGTCGCCGGCACCCCGACGCGCCACCCCCCTGGGGGAGATCCACACCTTTTTGCTCCGCCCGTCAAACAGCTGAGGCTATTTCCCGGTGCCCGCCCCGCGGAGAGACGTTCCCTTGGAGCTCCGCCTGACGCGGCTTGCCCCCTAGAGCCCGGCCCCCTGTAGCGTGCAGGGCTCCCCGAAAGCCCAGCCCCCTGGAGCTCGCTGGGACCCCTTCCGCTGTGGAGTCTTCTCCCTGGCTCAGCGCCTCATCCCCCTGGTGCACCTTCTGGGTCCCTGGGGGTGTGGCCCGCCTTGGCCCCGCCTCTCACCGGGCCCCGCCCCTAGGTTGTGTTTGAGAAAGGCGGCGTGTACCTGCACACCAGTGCCAAGAAACACCAGGACGCGGACTCGCTCATCGCCGGCGTCATCCGGGTCGTGGAGAAGGTGGGCTGATGGAAGGGGTGGGCTTGGGGATTGGAGTGCCGGGTCAGGCTGTAGAAGGTCCAGGGTGGTGGGAACAGGGGAAGAAAAATGAGGACTTTTAGGTGGGAAGCTTTAGAAGGGCGGTTTGGGCAGCTTGGAGGAGAGCCCCTGTAACTTCTCCCTGTCCCTCAGGACAATGACGTCCTTCTGCACTGGGCCCCCGTAGAGGAGGCTGGCGGTTCTACCCAAATTCTCTTCTCCAAGAAGGTAGGATTCTTCCTCCCACCCCACCCTTCTCCACTGGTCCTAGGTTGGGCCATGGGAAGGCACTGTGGGGAGCCTGTACAATCCCAGACCTTCTCTTGGGGCCCGGGTCACCCCTGGTCAGTTACCAGGAACTCTGACCAGGAACAGGGCACAGCTGCGGTCTCAACCCTGAGCTCCTTGGGAGAAGCCATCCAGGGCCAAGGGACCAACTCCAAGGCGAGGACTCTGAGCGGAAGAGGTCTATATTCCTGCCTCCTGGCCCTGCACATGGCTCCTCTCATCATTGGATGAGTTTGGATCATGAGACTAAGAAATGCAGGGACAACAGCGACTGGACGAACCTGCCAAAGCCCTGTTTGGGTGCCACGTGGATGGGGTGCTTCCTTGGTCTCATCAGCATGGACAATAGCGCCCCCTGGGGCCTCTGGACTAATCCTGGCATGATGCCTAATTATTACCTCTAGTACAGATGCTTATAATTACCAGAGGGATGCCAAGTAATTTCTTTTCTCCCTGAAAAGGGAGTGATAGGGTCAATTGTTTTGTGAACCTATATACACCCTGCCATTTCGACTCCCAGCGACCCCATAGGACATGGTAGACCTACCCCTGTGGGTTTCTAAGACTCTTTATCGGCATAGAAAGCCTATTGTTCCTCCCAGGAGCGGCTGCTGGTTTTGACTGCTGACCTTGGGGTTAGCAGCCCTTGCTGGACATAAAACCCATCCCAGCAATTGGTAGGAGCAAGGGATTAGAGGCCCCCAGACTTTTCTCAATGGAATGGCACCACAGATCTACCCTGCCTGCCAACGTAGCTGCGACCTCATTTCCAGGGGCAGGAAGAGAGGGAACCCCTGCTGGGAACTGCTGAGCTCAAGAAGACCCTCCAGAGCTGCCTTTGGGGGGCAGGAAGCCACCCAGTTATGGACTGGCCCTTACAAAGACAGTGGAGACTGGCTGCCTCTCCCAGGGTGGGGAAACCAAGAAGAGAATGCTTCTCCATCTACTCGATTTTCAACAGGAAGCTGCCCCTCCTATTTAGAGCCCTGGTGGTGGCTGCTGGGCACCCCACCCACCCCCTTCCCAGCCACCTGCTTGCTCTATGATGTGCCCTCCCTGCATGGTGATGCATGTGAATCGCTTGGGTTTATGTCCCTGCCGCGGGTCTAGAAGCCCCCTTGACCCACCGTCCCTCATCCACCCCTCCTCCTCCTCACCCCAGGACTCCAGCGGAGGTGACTCCTGCCCGTCTGAGGAAGAGCCGACCTTTGACCCTGGCTATGAACCTGACTGGGCGGTCATCAGTACCGTGCGGCCACGGCCCCGCCACTCGGAGCCCACGAAAGGTATTGGCTGGTGCACCACGGTGGGAGTGAGGCGGGTGGGAGGGGTGGGAGGAGGTGCAGGTCTTGCCCTCAGCAATCCTGCTCCATAGGCCCTCAGTCAAAACGGCCATCCCTCTCTGGCTTTATGGGGTCTGCAGCCTCATTCATCCCATCAGCCTGGCCGGTTACCCATTGCCCTGGTGGGGGTTTGTTGCCTCCTCGAGGCCTTAGAGAACAGAGTGGACTGGCCCTGGAGGGCTCCCGAGGCTGTAAGATTTACAGAAGCAGATGACCAAGAGGAGGCCGGCCGGCTGGTGGCTTGCAACTGCCAGCCATTCAGTTAGCAACCAAGTGCTGAATTGTCCAGTCACTAGGGCTCCCCGGATTGGCCCTGGACACCTCCAAAATGAGGCTTGCCCTCCAAGGCTTTCTAATTGGTGGGGGCAGCACATGTGGTCTTTCACAGTACAGGAGTGAACCTCCCTAACGGGGCACACACGGAAAGCGTGCAGGAGCCAGAGGAGGCAGCCGAGAAAAGCTTCCAGAGTCAGTGCCTGACTTAGCTCTGAAGGACACGCAGCAGTAGAATGAGGGTCAGAGGTGAGACAGGGAGGGGACGAGGAGCCTCGGGCGCCTGCTTGAGGAGCGTAGTCTGTGTCCTCAGGGTTCCGGGGAGCCTGGGAACATCGTGCCAGGGGCTCATACCTGCCTCCCGTTCCCCCAGTGCCCTGCCCGCTTCCCCGCGGTTGCGTGTCCTTCCTAAAGAAATTCCAAGTGACCCACAGCTTCTGGAGCAGGCCCCTGGTCAAGCCCCAGGCGGGGCTCCCGGGAGCTGACCTGGTCCTTGCTGAGGGGCCACCCTTCGTTGACGTGGCCGCCCCTGGCTTCCCATGCCCTTACCCAACATGGTGTCATCCTCCCTAGGTGCAGAGCCCAGCTCCCCACAGGGCTCCTGGGCCTTCTCGGTGAGCCTGGGGGAGCTCAAATCCATCCGCCGTTCCAAGCCAGGCCTGAACTGGGCCTACCTGGTCCTGGTGACCCAGGCCGGAGGCTCCCTGCCCGCCCTGCACTTCCACTCTGGGGGCACCCGTGCCCTGCTCCGAGTCCTCAGCCGCTACCTGCTGTTGGCCAGGTGAGCTGCTCCCAGCACGTGGTGTCAGGACCCCTGTCCCTCCAGGTCTGTGCCCTGCCCCTTGGGGCCTCAGAGGCCACACAGCCCAAACTCCTTAAACCAGGGGAAGAGAGAGAGAGAAAACTTCCCGGATGTAGAACTCTGATCTCTCATGGAATCGAGGGAGAAAGGGGCAGAATTAACTTCAGAGGGTGCCCCGGGGGGGTCCATAGAGTTCACATGCCTGCTCAGTAACCAGAAGGTTGGTTTGGAGACCACGTAGAGGGGCCTCGGAAGAAAGGCCTGGTCACCTTCTTCCCCTAGAAACACCCACTGACCACTGTGGGGGCCAGGTCTACTTCGTCACACACGCAATTGTCCTGAGTGGTGATCAGCCAGAAGATGGTAGACTGGCTTGCTGGCCCCACAGTGTGATAAAGGGTCGCTTTCTTTTTCTGAGTTTGTATCTGAAGAACGGGGAGGGAGGAGTCGCAGTGATGTCAGAACCTGTCTAACCTCAGGGGATAATGAGAGTCAAGGCCCGCCCATGCTGCTGTGTGATCCCCCCATCTCCCCCTCCCCGTCAAGGCGGAGGTACAAGGTGGAGCTACCTCCTTGTCTCCAAACTCTCACCAGTTCTGACGCCAGCTGACTGTCCCTCCCACGGCCGTGGCCAGCTCTCCTTCTCTGCCAGGTCCCAGGATTCATTGCAAGGCCAGCCAGCACTCAACTCACAGACAATAATTGTCACAGTGACGGGCCTTCCGAGGGGAGGGACAAAACTACCCTACAACTGGGGATGAGGATCAGGAGGCGGGCGACCTCCCTCAGAACAAAGAGCACAGCCACACAGCCCGCCTGGGTTTCAGCACAGCTCTCTCAGCCCCGTCACCCCGGGATGCAAGCAGGGCCTCCTCTCTCTGCTGGGCAGACCTCCTCTCAAGACCTTGTGTGAGGCCCGGTTGACTAGAGAAACAAGCCCAGAGACACTCGTGTGTGTAAGAAAGAGCTTTATATCAAGGAGTGGTCAGTTATCAAGAAAACATCCCAGCCCAGTCCAGCTCAAGCCCATACGTCCGATACTAGTCCATAGATCCCTCTTCATACTCAACACAGCATATTCAATGATGCCAATGAGTGCAGGAAGATCACAGGCCGGTGGGTGCAGAGTCTTGTGGATCCAGTGGCAGTGG